CTCAGTGTTGTTGTTGGCCCTGTTCTTCACAAAAAAAGAACTACGTTTCCCGTAATGCCAAAGCTCCTGTGTGTATTTCACTGCACACTGTAGTGTGTAAAATTGTGTATCTTACAAATGAATCTTTGAATCTAATTAAGGATGCTGTAACTTGCCTCCATGGCAGTGTTTTTTCTTTCAATTCCCTAAAATAATGTTGCAAGTATTTTACTTCTACTAGCAAAGCTGAAAACTTGAGCTCCACTTTCTATGAAAACACATTTTTTTTACCCAATTTAAGCTACAATGCAAACTGCCATTGTGCCTTATATACAATCTAGCAGATTTCTCACAAAAACTAACCTGTTGATGAACCCGTAAAAGCTGCAAATCTTTATACAATTGTATCAAAACTGACCTGGCAATGGTTTATCGGTGTCCCACTGCACCACACAGCAACCTTTAACTGACACGATAAACTGACAGAAAATACAGTAAACCAACAGATAAATGCACGTAAGCCCAATAATCTCTCTTAAATTAAGTGTCTATAAGAAAATATTGAACAAAATAAGTCAAATAAAACAGCTCATATGATCTGCCACCTGGCATGTATGCCAAACACACACTCACACACACACAAAGGGCTCCCTATTTCTAGCTTCCTCAAAGAAATATCTTTATAAAGCTCAGGAATGTGAGGAATCTCTCAGGGAGTGTTTTGAGCGAGCAGGTGACCTTTCGAGCGTACCTTTGTAGGACTGTATGACCTAATCAGTCTTCCCTTCACCTTATTTCCATTTAACCAAACCAGGGGAATGGCTCTAAAACCTCATTATGAAGCTAAGACAGGATCTGAGCTGAGTTGCATAACAGAGGCCTGTCGTCTAGTTTTACACAGGATCGTGTGAACTGACAGCACAGCGGGGACATAAAACACTGTCAGAAAGGTACGCAGGTAAAATGGAATTAGAGAAATGGAAGTTAAGTAACATGTAACAACAGATAATCTCTGCCTTTTGGCTCAGGATGAAACATGGTCCAGGTAATCAGAGAAGACAATGCAGAGTTAATGGATTAATCACACTGAAGGGTCCAGGAAGCCAGAGTTTATCTCTACAAAACCTGCTACTGTGCAGTTCCCTCTCTGGTCAAACTCCACCAGCCTTGTTTACAAAAATACATTCCTGCAAGAGCAAAGGGTAAAAGTAACCCAAGGGTTACAGGGTTCAGACGGTCACCCTAACCGGGAATCTAGGTCAACCTATTGTCATCCTTTAATGAAACTGACTGAAAAGCAAACACATCGGGAGATTAAACTGTCTGATGTGTTAATAGCAGGTTACTTTGTTAGGGACACATGAATAAAAGGATTTACTTAGGGCTGGGTGTTCATTGAAGCATTTTAATATGAGTGAGAATATGATACCTGACTTTTGGTACAGATACTGAAACCACAACTTTCTGTGCTTTAGTTTGAGAAACATAAACATGGTTTTCTATGAAGAAAACTTCACAAAATGTTCTCTACCTGACTTTGTTGAATAAAACACTCACAATTCAGTCTAAAATCAGGCCATATCTGTTTAAAGAACAAATCTGATTTTTCATTAAGTCCATAGACTGTATAATAATATTCTTATAATATGCGGTACATCACCAAAAAACAGTAGGTTCACACTACGGTACGTCAAAAATGTATTCTAAAACAATATCCCATTTTCAGAGTGAAACCCAGTGCATTTGTTTTTTGAGAAAAACATGACATTTAAAACATGACATTTATTTCTATTATTATTATATTATAGTATTCTGCTTATATTTTAACTAATTAACTATTATTACTATTAAAAGCAATCATTTGGTATATAAAATGTCAGAAATGCCCATAAAAAAATTAACTAATGATAGTTAATGGACTAATCGTTTCAGCTCTAATCTATATTGAGCTCTAGTCTATTTTGTTTTTATGGTGATTTACTTCTCTCGTAAATTTCAGTATCCACTTTGAGTAAAAATAGTATTTTGTAAAAACTATTTCAAAAAGATGATGTTAATGTTTTTTTTATACTGTATCTATTTTGATCTCACATGACTTATTGTTAGACTGTATATCATGTAAGCAAGCCAGAAGCAACCTCAGACCTTCCTGATAAAGAGATATACAGCATGGAAGAGGAGTTGTGCAAAACAAGTATTGGGGTTTGATACCCAGGCGTTCATACTAGTACACATACTCCATGTGATCCTTTATGGGTGCCAGTGTCTCAGAGCAAGGAGAAACAGTGTGAGTGGAGTGGAGGGGTCAGGAAAAACAAAACCCCTTGTTCCTCCCTCACTGTAATGGTCCCGCCATGGCTTTTAATTAACTGGCACTGTGCCCGCCATACCAGGCATTTAGTGGGCAGGAGGCCCCTCTGGCATCATCAGGGGCTCAGCTGGAGGTATTCAATTTTCTGGGCAAGTCTGTTACACTGCACCATGTCCTGCTCCTGCAATAAACCTCCTCTGGATGCATTTTGGGAATTGCTGAGCTCCTTTTCTAATCAGAGGAAGTGTCTGGCGGAGGAGTTTGCTGTGGTTGTTGCCAGCACCAACAATCTGCACGCCATACACAGCACCTTGATTACTGAGGGCTCAATAGCAGCGTATGTTAATAACTGGCACATAAATCACACTTAATATTCAACACTTCATAGTGATATATCTCTCTAATCTTGAGGCCTATTACCATAACGTAGTAGATACACCATTTAAAAGAATTTTAACTGTGGCTGCCATCACAACAATCATTAAAAGTTGGTTCCAGCTTAAAAAGAAATGCGCTCTCCAGTAATTCGTCTTGAGTGCATGTGTGGAAAAGTGTAAAGGGTAAAGGAGAAGTTTTCACGGCCTCTGCCCGTTGTGGGAGGCAGCCTCTAAGCCGACCTTGGCAGAGGAGGAATACCTTATCTGTCCTCACAGTTTACTTTCCCTTACAAAGCTCTTCACACCGTTGTTGTAAGTAATGGCACAATATAATGTAAAGATTGCATAATGCAGGTGACGCGCTTGTCTAGGCATTCATCATTTACCATCAAGTCACAGATGTGACTGAAAATGTGTTTACACATATTCATCTTCTGTTGTGGGTACAGTTTGACTGTGTGAGACTCAAGGAGCTTGAATCCCGTGGAAATCCCCTCATGCCCCTCCAGCTGAACTACGAGCTCTGGGCTTCCACTTGGAGAAGACGCAGCAAGAAAAACAGGCAGGGCCTCCTCTGTCTGTCTGTCTGTCTGTCTGTCTGTAAAGCAATTAGCCAAGACTGCACAAGCACTGCCAGACACATATAAAACAGCCCGAACCAAACACTGTTTGTACTGTTTTTGCATAAGCCGGCTCAGTAGAACAAGGTTTAGCTTGTTTGTCTAATGTTTTTGTGTTTCAGGTCTGGCTGCATAAAGGTGTGATTAATGACGGTGTAAAACTTAAGTTAGTGCTTACAGTTCACATACAGAAAAAAAGTGCGTTCACAAGGAGAAAACAGGACAGTTCAGCATGCTGACATACGAGTGCACATGTGCAAGCTCCAACAAGATCGAGATACAGCTCTGGGAAAAGTCAGAGTGTTGCTGCAATTTTGTGTGAGTGTGTGAATGAAACGTTTTTATGTGTTCACTACGTGCATAAGTTGGGTTTTACTTAAGCTGTTGATTGTGTGGGTTTGTGTGTGTGTGTGTGTGTGTGTGTGTCTGCACGAAGGCTAAAATAAAACACCATTCATTTAATGCATGTCCCACTGTTCACTTCACCCTCCATGTAACCTGAAGACCAGGTAAGTTAAGTGATGGTATCACAGAACAGGACAGACAGAGATTTTTTTCACAGCAAACAAAGCAAATGGGAGGTCAGAAGGCGAGCAGGAAGTCAGTCTGTTCAAACATCCCTCTAGTGAACAAACATACATGCCTGGGAGCCAAGGAGCAGCATATTCAACTGGTTCCCAAGAACTTATCCCGACTCATCTTAGATGTCATGTTACTAAACTAAGCTGCGCTCTGTAGAAATGTCTTTAAATATCTTGTGCAATGCATTACAGGAAAACACTGGTGGGTTTTAGCCTATTAGCAACACATTACTTCACTTGGTAATAACACACTTCAACTTACTGACTAATATCTTTTAGATTTTTAGATTTAGAGTCATTTTGTGCCTTGCACCCACCCATTGGTTCATAGTTTATGTCAGTACAAAAGCCATGGCCTTGACTGAGATAGGGAATTCAACACAGTTTAATAATCTGTCGTTATTATTGTTTTAGTTTTTGTGTGCGTGTGTCAATGGTATCTTATCTTGTATGGCACTACAATTGCAAGCAGAGACTCTGTTTTCATGTATTCAAGGATGCTCTGTCATCCACATTGCCAGGTGCTGAAATTATATTTCTGTGGGGCTTTTTTTTGATTAATCTGTAGATTATTCTATTGATTCATTATTAAGAATATAAGAATTTTTTGAAAATAGTGAAAAAAATAGCTATTGTAAGTACCCACAGCTTTCAACAATCTGCTTATAACGGCTTTGCCACAGAAGGGTGAATGTCAACTAATGGCCTTCTGTAGAGTAGGAAATATATCTCAGGGTTTCCCCCAGAAGATTAGCCGTGGTGGTAAACCAACCAGATTTAGACAAATCACATTTTATGATGATTATGAAATTAGTAGTATTTAATAGCCACACACATTACATATATGGCAGTGGCTGTGTCAATTTCAAATAGTGCCTCTTTTTCTCCAACAGGTTAATATTTTATCTCTTTTATTTTAAGTGTTATAATGTTAGTGGGTGTGGTCTGTTTCAGTTGACCCACCTAAATTCTCTGTGTTGCTCTAAAGGCAATGTTTTGGTTGAATTCTAAAATATTGGCAAGCTGTAGTTGAGCTAAAACACGCAAACCACAGAACAACTGCTAACATACTAACACCTGATAAAATACTAGAGGAGTTAAAATGGCTGTTGAGCATCCTGCAGGCTCTTACCATGACCGTTACCTTGTGACTTCTGTCCTCCCTTGTGTCCACCCTGATGTCCAGCAGCAGGGTGCCTATCCAAGGCCAAGTCAAGTGCAGGACCTAGACCAGGGCTCTGCCCCTTAGCACCGAGCTCCTTCCTCTTCTTGCCCTTCAGCCAGCCCAAAGCCCGGCCCAGGGAGTGCGTGCGCTTCTTCCGGCCCCTTTTGCCATGCTTCTCCTGGGCAAAAATATCAACCACATCCTGGGGAATTAGGTCCCCAAATCCCAGTGAGTCACGGTTTGACATACCACCTCACACTGGAGAGACACCCTGAAAACAGAAAAAGAAGAGACGGGAAATAAAGTTTTAGTCATCATCATCCAAGCTCTACATGTGATGGCACATAAGGAAAGGTAATAATCAAAGGACCATATTGTTGAACTGCTTGTTTAACTTTCCTGGCTCACCACTGGTTTCAGTTAATTCCAGTACAATATTAAATCAAGTTGAAACGTGCTTTAGGTGATCCTTAGGTGTTTGGTTAGGGATTTTGAGAAAAAAAGAGACAAAATGTTGACTTTATTTTCATTACTTGTCAACATTAATGTTATTGGATGCAGTGGCAAGTAGGGGCTGAAAACCAACCTTGCTGTTCTGCTCAAGAAAATCACAACATCCGATATTTGAGAGGTGGCTGCTGCAAAGAAACCTTTTTAACTCAAGAAGCTAAGCCAAATTCAGTGTCCTTACAACAATTACCATATATGATTACTGTCTTCCTTCCAGGTTTGATTTCCCATCAACATAGATCATCATGCTCACGCTTTTCCACAGTTGACATAGCGGATATTGGCACTTCCTTGAATGCACCAAAAAAAGCACCAAGGTTGATAATGATAGATTCATTACCTATGGCAAACAGGTTTCAAGTCTTGGCAAGGTGATTGTGTTATCTTGAAAAAAAGGGGGTCTTTTTTAATCCAGTTAAAACTTAACTTTGGAAAGTGCTTGTCAGTAATGTAAAGTGTACAAAACCATGAATCCAGTTGTACTGCAAATAAATACAGCTAAGTCTTTAGACCACCCCAATTGGTATGTGTGTGTATATATCTGTTTGTGTTTGTGCGTCTCCGTGGGCACTGCTCATTCAACCCACACACTCGGCCTACACAGACCCCCCCTCCTGCCTCTAAACCAAACTTCACAGTTCTGCAAAGAAAGAACTGGCACCGCTCCCTTCATTCCATAACATGGAGTCATAATTCACAAAGCCGCACCCGTAGGCTCATGCACTTTTACACACAGGCACAACAGCACACTGGTGGAGCCAGAGAACTGAAAATAAACAGTCACAAATGGGCACTGAGGCATTTTTGACAAACAGCGTTCACATATCAATGTAGTTTCTGTTTCATGTTCCTTGTTATGTTTCTTTGTCTTCCTTCATCTTGTTTTTTTTTTTTCATTCTCAGTAGAATGAGCTCATGGCCTCTCTGTCAGCCTCCTTCCTCTACCCCTCCACCTTGCTAAACTCCTCTACTTTAAGGCAGGTTTCCCAGCCATGCTCCTGGGGATCTATAGCTCACACTGGGCTTCTTCCAGCTGCGTACTTTATTAGATACTTATCTCCAGATCACAGGCTAAGAGTAGAATCAGGCTCTTAGGATGACAAGAGTCAGAGCATGTAAATAAACGAACTGAGACTGAGGGAAGGTGGGAGTGGAGTCAGATTGAGAGAATTATGAATCCCAGGGTGATTTGCCATCGAGAAAGTTCATGAAAAGTTTTTGGCTGCCATGTTGCTTCACGGTCATGCATGGAAAACAATGCAGACGGATTTTAGCACAGACAGTGTGTGAGCAATATATCCAAAAATCTTTCAGCGACATAGTTTCTAGGAATACTCCCCTGCCCCAGACGAGACACAAAACTAAAACCACAGAAACCTATGTCATGTTCTCGGAGGATTACAAATGCTCCTCGTCATTAAAGCTCTGTGTAATGGAGAGGGAGAGCTGTGATGAGAAGTTAGCGGACTCTGGTTTGGATGTATTGCATAGAACATTGCGGGGCAGATGTGCACATTTTAAAGCCACATGCTGTTCATACTGTTATAAACTAACCTTTTATGAGTTGAGTCTTGACTATGTCAGAATGGGGAAAACATGGGGAATATACACTCAGTTGCCAGTTTATTAGGTCTGTGTATAGTAACTAATGCAGCCCAGTACAGTCCTGAAATAAATCCTCCCTTCATTAAAGTTATAATGTGTTTCTATTATTTTCTAATAACTCCTCTGTAGCACGGAGATGGTAAATGCTCATGCCAGCACACTAACGTGCTCACAATAACAACGCTGACAAGCTGATGTTTAGTTCATTTAGCATGCTAACATTTGGTAGCTTCGCAAAAAGTAGAATTGGGAATCAGATTTGGAGATATTTTGTCATGAAACCAAATTATTGGACAAACAAACGTTTTGATGTAATGATGGTGCTAGAGGTTAAGTCAGAGGGGTCATTTACAGACCAGTGTGGACTATTTATTGCAGATTGCAACTCCCTTACTTCACCCTCACCTTCCAAACATTCTCCAAAGTAGGAGAAACTATGCTGGCCGCAAAATCGGCAAAAACGTGGACGGCCCAATCTAGAGTCAGTGTTTTGTTTGTCTGTTCTGGGCTGCCGTAGCAACATGGCAGTTCCTCCATGGAAGGTAACCTGCAGTGTCTATAGGTGTAAAAAGCTAATTCTAAAGTAAAACATAACAATTATTATTTTCATTATACAGTCATTAAAACATAGCTATGAATATTATATTCCATTTCTGCCAATAGACCCTTTTAAAATGTTACACACAGGACCGAATCATCTTCCAGGCACCATGAATGCCAGTATAAAATGCCATAGTAATCCATCCAATAGTTGAGGTCAATAGAGAAGTTCACATCCACACTCATGAGAGAAGTATGCAGCTATATATGAGAGGATTAAATTACCATGAGTACTTGAAGAACCTGAATGCTTTTCTAAACTTTATACATACAAGGGCCTTTTTGAAGTAATTTGTTATCTTAATGTAGGCAAGCTGAACATGTTACTCACTACACAGCACAACTCAAGTGGCACAATGTGTAATGAGTAGACACAAGTGAGTGAGTTGTAGTGAAACACCAATAACAAGAAAGAGCATCCATCTTCTGCAGGAGAAAAGTAACAGGCCTCTCCCTGCTCTAAGCCCTGTGTTTCTCCTGCTCCAAATTACAGTCATTTGAGCATGACTAAGATCCCTGCATGTATTGGCCACAGTCGCCAATAATCAGACGTGTCTCTCGGGGGAAGAGGGGGCTGGTTCATTCACTTATAGCCCGTGGGCTGCTGGGAGTGCATCAACTCATTGTACTATTTCCACCACAGAGGGACCGGAGTAATACTAAGCACTTGGGGGCACACCGGAGGACCACCCAGCAGACCACTGTCTGTGCAGTCCTGTTTCAAGGAGTTGACTCATGCCACCGTTGCTGCGGTTACAAATAACAACCTGCAATTTTCCGTTTTGCAAACAAATTTAATGAGGTGACGCACACAGTGTAGTGTCCACTCTAAAAATATCTGTTTGTTTGATGACGTCTATATTTGTATCATTTATCTTAAGATTTACAAAAGAAATGTCACATCTCTTTGGTTTATCTAGGAAAAGTTACTGCCCTTCTAGAAAATAAGCTTTAGACTCACAATCTCTCTTCATAAGCACCATCACCGACATTTTAATTACAGGTTTGCTTCATTCGTCCCAGCAATCACCTAACCCCTAACCACGCCTCTCAGTTCATAAAAGTTGATACACAAACCATAGACACGAAAGAAGAATTTGTAGCACAAACCGAGATAGCACTGCCTACACTACACCACATCAAGGTGCATTAGATTATGATCGAATAATATACCCTAAGCTGATTTACACACAAAAACGTATGTTCTCTCTCCGTCTCTCTCTCACACACACACTAAACCTGCTGTGGTTTTCCAGCCCAGCCCCAGTCCTGCTGGAGCAGGCATGTGTTCCAACATGCTGTTTACTTATCCTTTACAAAAGACGCCAGGCTTTCACATTGGACAGGAGGTACCGCTCAAACACAGCAAACCTCAACACAGTGTGTCAATACCTGCAGCACTGACTGATTATCTGACACTGACAGCAGTGTGTACATATCTGCATGAAGTCAACTGGGGCTGATAATAGTTTACACACTGTCATGAAATAGACTGTGAGACTCAGCATATCTGGAATTTACATTTATTGTGTACTTTTGACAGATATACTGTATATCCTGGGGCTTCAGTACATAAATTCCACAGCAAATGTGGGTCTTCTCTCCACTTTTACGCAAGCAGGTCAACAGAGTTGAAGCAAAGCAAAGCACTGACACCTGCCTTGCCTGAAGCAAAGCACAGTAGCATGGCTTACTGTGCAAATCAAACCCCAAATCCATGAATTTACCTAGAATCTCCATCTTAAACTGGGCTCTACTGTACCTTTCTTTGATAAACTGGTGTGTAAAACAAAGGGGGAAAGCCGGTTTTTGTTACATATGAACATTTCTTTAAATCCGAATGACTTAAGCTGAACACACCCTCAACAGATCCAGTATGTCAGAGGAAGTGCAAATAACTGTCAGTGTTTGTTTTTACACACTGAATGCCTTGAAGGTGGGATTTAATAAAATGTTTTGGCACCCACTGCGTTGGTTTTTTACAACAAACCGCACCCATGTGGTAAAGAATTAGGTTCAGAGTTGAACTACCTACACAAACTCAAACTGGAGGGTACAGGAGCCTATCATCAGGTAAACTCACAATACTGATTTTATGCTCAAGTGTACTCACAGCCTTATCAACTCTGGCAAATATGAACAATGTGAATTTTGCAGGCAATGACGGGGGGGACAAGGAAAGGGGAGGGGTCTCCGGGAACTGTAACTTTGACTTTGGTGAGTCACACAGGGAAGCTGACGGAGCAGACTCCAGTAGCTCATGGGGATAAGGCAAAGCCAAGAGGGAGTGGCGGTGATACAGGCAGCCACCTTTGTTTGAATTAGGACTGGCTCAGTTTAACCAGGAGGCCATTCACTTCTACGCCTGAGCTGCTGGGTTTCACATGGCATGACTTAGCTGTCAGTGAGCAAGGTTAAGGTCAGGGTGAATGTGGTTAGTCTCCAAAAGACAGAAATAATACTTTAACAAGGTTAATAACTTCCTTTTTTGGGGAAAAAAAAGGATGTTTTGGATCTGTTCCAGTCTTCCTGCTGAGATCACCGGAATAGACTTTACAGTAACAGCCAGTTTTGTCAATAACAGTCTTTAAACCACACTTAAAGTGGCTCTGTAACTAAATAGCAAGTGTTTGGGCAGTGTGAAAACTGGTGTTGCTGTGCATCACCTGAAGGCATCAATCAGGGCGTTGGCTGTCTTCTCTGGGCATTATCAAACAAAGGAGAGCGCTGCTACTCAAGAGCAGACTTAAAGCAACCTAGTCTGGGCTAAAGCTCATGTGCAAACACTCCATGTTCAAGAAATGTACTGTGATGGATGACGATCAAGACTCAAACTGGAAATACTCAATTCCACGACTTTCTGAGGTTTGAAACCAATCTGTGAAATGACAGAGGAGAACTTCTTAGGAGAGGTTTGTGGGAGTCATCGGGCATCAATGGAAAGGTTTCCCATCTTAAGGGAAATAGGGTCCCGTTTCACAGCAGAAGTATGTTTGCACTGACAGAGAGGACTGCAAGAATGTTTCCTAAAAATCTGGTCCCATACCAACATATCAGCATAAATACACAGTGGCTAAGGACTTGGACTGAAAGACAACCCCTTGCTGACATTATGTGGTCCCTGTGTTTGCTGCAGAAAGGATACAGTTTCAGAAAAAGACCATGTAGGTAATGACAGTGATAAAAATAAACAACAATAACAGTGTAAGACAATAATGACACAAATAAACCCAAAATTGTATGTAACTTAACTCACTGAGGTTATAGACAGTGTGTGTGTGTGTGTGTGCGTGCGTGCGTGCGTGCGTGCGTGCGTGCGTGCGTGTTACTGAGCAGAGATCTGTGGACGAGGTAATGCAAGCTGGCGTGCTGTAGCCATGCAGCAGCTTGTCTGGTAAGAGCAGCGGCTGCATTCCTGAGAGATTCATAATTACCGACTGAGGAACTCTTCACTCCAAATCTGCTTTCACCCCCCTCTTACACCTCCACCCCCTATCCCGTCCTCTTTTTTCTTTTTTTCCTTTCGCCACCCCACTCCCAGCCACACATCCCTCATACAGTACGGTGGCCTGGGAGACAGAGCCATGAAAGAAAAAGGATAATGGCTGGCGCATGAGAGTCATTTTGAGATAACATTATAATATGTGGCTGTGTGCACTGGCAGAGATTATTGTTCACTGTGTCTTTTTAGAGGGGAGACACAAATATGTTATCTCTATGGAAACAGGACAGTCAGTGGAATTGCTGATATGTTTTGATGATGGTGAGGGTTGAACTCAAAAAGTAAACACATTATGGTAACATTCTGTCTATGTTTAAAAAACCGGAGGCAGCTGCATTAAAATGTGGTGTGTGTACTTAAAACTGATTTTGGGGCTGCAACTAACGATCCTTATTATCATTAACAATTAATTTGTTAATATTTTTCTTGGTTAACCAGTTTGTCATTCACATGTCAGAAAACAGTGACCCATTATAATCTTATTCTTATCTTATAATTATAATCAATTATTGTCTGAGGACCGTTTTCTTTATGTGGCCATCAGCCCAAAACCCAAAGAAGCCCCAAAACTCACTTACGAACTCATTAAAATGAAAGTTGGTAATGTTGTCAATTTTCTTTGAAATTGACTTAAAATAAATATTTATTATTAATACAACCAATCCATTTCCTGTAGTTGTCAATAACGCTTGTAAGTATGTTTAATTACATTTTTAAACAAATTAAAGTAAAATTCCTACAATGTTTGTTTGAATCCCTATAATCTTACTTTCCATTGTTTACTTCTGTGTCTCTTTCCAAAAACAGGACAGAGGAATCTTTGACTTTCGTCTGGCAGAATAAGACACTCAGCAGACACAGTGGCAGAGCTCTGTAAAGTGCGTTGTTTGCTTTGCTTCCAGGGGTCCAATTCTGGACTGCAGCCTCTGTGGAGCTTAAGACCCCTGAACTGACAGGTCAGTCAGGGGTGAAAAAGAAAGTGTTGTGCAGCGGCAGTGACCAGCTTGCAGCGAGGGCAAACACAGCTGGATACACAGAGTTTAAAAATACATCCTGGCATCTTGGTGTCTCTGCTCTGCCCCAGTCAAAACAAAAACTCTGTAGCCGCTTTGAAATCCTTTCAATCTGAAGTTCATTCAGTCTGACAGTCGCCTGAGTGGACAGCAGTCAAAGAAAAATGTAGTCTGGGAATTTAAAAAAGTACTCAGTTTGGACCAGATCCGATGAGAACTTTCAGAAAGACGAGAAATGATGCATGATGCAAGTGCAGTAGAAAGATCAGAAATGAGCTGCTTGCATACACACACAATGCTCCATCTTGCCGTAATGCCCCTAACAGCTATTGATTCAATCTTTCAGAAGTGCTGATGAGTTACTCATCAGCTAATCCTTCTGATTAACAGCACACTCATCAGGAAGCAATGTCCTCCTCTCACTGCAGCCCTGCATGACACTTTTCCCACCACTCACTCAACGTTCACATAATCATGTGTCATTGCCCATTACAACACCAATTGTTCCTCCCGTTGCTCTCTCTCTTGACCAACAACCTTCCACTTTCCTCCACTGAGCGGGCACTTTGTCACTGACAGGTCACGAGTAAACAAGGGAAAAGTTGAACCTACCTGGCTGAAACATATCCCAAACACAGGATGCACTTGTGAATCCCTTATCCTGTCCCTCATCTTCCACTGTCTCTCTGCTATCACCCTGTCTCTCAATCTCAGGTATCTATCAGACTCTGCTGTACCTCTAGTACTTACATAACACACCTGTAATCTCCTTGGGTACAAGCCCTGGCATGGCAGGCTGGCAAAGAAGGAGTACCAGTATGCGACACACCCTTTCTAAACAAATGGCTCTGTCTCAGCCTCACCTACCAGAGGGTGCAAGAGGTAAACCTGCAGCCGTCAACCCTCAATCCCTGGAACTGCTGCAGAGTTTCCAGAAAAGTTTGGATTTGGAGCTTGCCTCGAGTCCAAAGTCCAGGACAGCCACTGGACAAACAGAGAGGGGGAGACCACCCCCCTCCAAGAGGTCCTGAGGTGGTCCTGTTATCTCTGTCAGGTTAATCAACAAGCAGTGGATCTATATAAGAGCATTACGAACTGCACACGGACTGTCACTGACTGGCAAGAATTAAACCAGGTGTCACACCGTGCTGTCAAGCAGTCACTTGCTGCTGGGACAGTGCTGGGAAATAACACAATAGTCTTCATTGTCATAAGTTCCATAGCTGAGAGAAGCACTACAGGTCTTAAATTACCTGTGCTTAAGATCCCTCAAGGCCAAGCTAAGCAAATCTCCCACACCTAGTTTTCCATGCATGCCTATACTCAAACTGAATCTCACTTTATCTGATTACACACTGTTTTCAACTATTTTTATTTTATTTTGAAGCCAGATCTTATAGATGTTTTTGTTTATATTAGAACAACTGAAGTAGACTAATCACACATCATGATGCAACAGATTCACCTAAAAGTTGAGTTGTTTCGTTAGTTTCTGTTCATTTTTAAAAGTTACTTCAGTCGATCCTGGTGTCATTTTACTCAGATTTTATGTTTTTGAAACAATACTTAACAAGACTTTTTACTGTTTATCATGTGAAAGTATCGTTTTAGGATGATCTGTCAATAGACACAATGTGTGCTAATAAATGCACTTTTCTCTCTCTACTTATACAGCGACAAAGAAACACAAATACCTTGTTGAACTTTTCTGATCCGGATGGGTTGATTCAGCCTCTCTCCATTTGAAGTCTCCCCGCTGCGCCCTTCCTCTCCAACTCCAAACTTTCACCGTCCGAAGGAAAACTTCAGGTGAATCATTTCCGTGAAAAAAAATCACTTCAGGAAGCGACTGGAGTCTGAATGTGTTTGCACCCGCCGGTGCAGATCCGTTTGTTGGCCGTCAGAGAAAGTGTCTTCTCCGCTGTCGATGCTGTTTGTCTGCAGACGCCCGGGTGGACCACGGTGGGGGGAAATGAACACAAGTTGCGTCGCTGTCGACCTGCATCACCCACCTGGAGGAGGCTGGACGCGCGCTCAGGTGAGGCTGACAGGCTGCGGTCAGGGCTGTGAGGACATCTAGTGGTGACATGGCGGAACAACAAGTAACACACAGCAAGTGAGGAAGACGAGGAATTTTCTTTTCCCACGCTTAACTTTGCGTTTCTCAGCTTTTTATTACACAAAGAAAATGTCTCCTAAAGAATTATTATTTATTTATTTATTTATTTGTATATTTATTATTTTTTTTTTACTTCTAACAAACATTCCCAGGCTTTTTCCGCTGGACATTCACACCTGGATACAACATATGAGTAATACTGAATGACAATAAAAATCTATTACTTGCGTTGTATTTTGCATTTGATCCCCATTTTAATGTTAAATAAATCTCTTTGACTATGACCTCTGGTTAAAATGTGATAATTTTACCCTTATTTTTGTTAAAACACATACATATTCCTTGTTGTTTTGTTTGCTTGTTTGGTTTTATTTATTTATGATGAACAACAAATCAATGTATCAAAACCATACAAGATACATCGGACACATCACTGTCCTGTGAAAATCCAATTTATTCACATAATCAAATAGGTTTGTAAATAATTTATTATATATAATATATATTATAGAGCAGTGAGTTGCATACAGATGATATTTAGTTGTGCAGATGATGGTGTATTCATGTTATGAAGGCACTTTGGATAAACATGCAGTGCTGATTTGTAACATTCCTGTTTGGATACTCTTACTCTCTCACTGTATTTTAGAGTGTCTTTTTCGTGTCTAATACTGGATATCATAATATATAATATGCTCACACCTGTCACATTCCCTCTTTGTATACACTAGTACATGGTGGTGTATGTTTGTCTCCAGTGAGGAATCTGATAGACAGCATGCAAAACACTTCAAACAAATACTGTCTATGAACAATGCAAACTTTATGTGCAGCCGAGCTCAATACTGAAGCTATTAAAAGAAAAGCCTGCACAGGCCTGCTAATGTTGCCGCCTGTGCCTGTACAGTCGTCTCTGAGGCAAAATGCTTTCAGAAACTTATTGCTCAGACAGTTTTCACTCATGATGTCAATACCTTTTTAGAGGCATATAAAAACTGCCCATAAGGCTGTATAAATATATCTGTCCCTGGCTGGTCCAGACATGTGTTACATCCAGAGCATGTAGGCCAGTCTGCCTTCAGCACTGACACAGTTTGTGATCCCATGTGAGGCTATGAGTCTTAGATAGAGTTTCCCCCATGCCTCCAGTGTTATTAATAAACACAAAGTGTGCCTCTGTTTTCCTAGAGACAGGCACAGAGCTGTCCTCAAAGTTGAGAGCAAACTGCCCACAGCTCTCCGGACTGTCACCTCCAAACAAAGTAAGTAGAAATACATGTAAATATGAGTTGTTACTGATCAGTAAAATATATTGATGTTGACAATGACCTGATTTGTGTGCGATCTTTTGATGTTTTTAAGGTTTACAGCTATCTTAAACAGCTAATTTGAAGCCTGATTCAATTTACATTAACTGGCTCTGTTATGCAAAACAGTCTGAAAGGAATTACCAGATTAGAGGGATTTTAAAACCTCAATCTCATCAATTATCGCTTTGGGAAATTTGATTAACGACAGTTTTCTCCTTCTCCTCTCAGAAGGCCATGGACAATCAAACATCAACAGAGAAAGGGAAAGACATGGCATCTTCTGTGGACTCAAGCATGGAACGTGTATTTGTTGAGGACATCACAGACAGCAGCCATACTGACTCTGAAACAGAGACAATCATTCCCCTAGATGAGTGCGCACCACATCCCATCATAGATACGGACCAGGCGGTCATAGACAGCTTGGGGCAGCTTTTTGAACACTGCATCCAGCAAGTGTCCCATCTAGAGATGCAGAGGAATGAGCTGATCCAAGAGCTCCTCAGTCTGCAGGAACCAATGCTGCGGGTCGTGGAGCACCTGAGAGGGAAGCTGGTAGACACACAGAGGCTGCTAACTCTGGCTCAGCTGGATTATGTTGCTGTTTATGAAGAAGTGCAGCATGTAAAGAGGAAACTGTTTACCACAGCCAGAGACTGCATCCAGAGCCAGGTGACGCTGGCGGCACACGAGTACGAGGTGGCTCAGTCTGCTGTTACACAGGTAGGAACCGCTGGACTCACAACACCTGGAGGATTGATTTAATGTGGCAGATTATATCAGATAATTGTCTTTTGTTCTGCAGTTTGAGAGTTGTTCCCTTTTCATACCCAATCAAATTAATACCCCATACCCCAATTAAATTAATCATTTTATTAATTTGTCCCAAGTGGACAAAAGGTCCTTCAGCAAATACTAACACAAACATCAATCAACAATACAATCAAATGTATCATAAATGATTGAATTAATGAAATTGAGAAAGTAGAATCAGTTTGACAAAAGATAACACAATATGTTGTAGACTATGTATAAATTATGTTAAGGCAGCATTTTCTTTATTTGTAATGCTGTTTAAAACGTAATTGAGACTATTGCTCACTTATAATTGTCCCATACATAGAACAAATACAAATACCCACAGGAATCATAAATACAACTGCTATCAAGCACCAAAATGAGTATCTACTTATTTAATTAAAGGCCGTAAAATTTAAAAACAGTACAAAAATGAAGTGAAAGATAAATGATTATGTGTATCCAAAAGAGTAAAATGAGAGAAAGTCATGACTTGAGAGGAAAGTGTCTTTAGGAAATCACAAATAACATAAAAATAACCGTGTAATTGTTAAAGTTATTGATTTAGCTGTAGAGAAACTACATAAGGCACACTTTAATTAATTATTTAATTAATATATTAAAAAATGTTGGTGAATTTTGGTATTAAGTAGTTGTGTACTGTAAAAAAGGTTGGCACAATAAGCTGTAGTTTCTTTATCTGTTGCAATTCACTTTACTTCTATACTTTTTGCACTACATTTGCCCTGTGCTGCTGTGTCAAACTCAAGTTTCTCCCACAGGGGATCAGTAAAGGAACATCTTATCTTATCTTAAATTAGTATTTGCCTTTTTTTTTTGTCTAATTGTTTAACTTAACAAGAAACATTTCAAATTAAATCTTGAACAATACAGTTGTGCTCCTGTTTGTATTTTTCTTTAACATTTGGTTTACAGTAGGTCAGTTATGCTATTGTTTTGCATGTTTTTAATCAATTTTCCCATGTATCCATAGGAGGAGCTCAAAGCCCACATCCAAAACCTGACCCAGGAGTTGTCCCAGCTCCAGGAGGCCTATCAGAACCAGCTAAACTCCCTGAGGGACAAGGCCACTAAGCCCTGCAGGCCCAGGGCCATGAGTGACGTTAGCCAGTGTCGCCAGGCTTCAGTCAGACTGCAGCGGCGACTCAGCGGCAGTGTCAGAGCACTGGAGGGCTGGTACGAGCCTCGACTCGTGGCCCTGCTCAGGAGAAGGCAGATTGGCGAGGACGCTTTGAGAAAGAGCAGGGAGCAGGCAGTGGACCTGAAGGCCAGCCTGGGACCCCTGAGAGAGGACGTACAAAGACTGGAAGTGCAGAGAGCCTCTCTGGAGCAGAGGATGACTCTGATGGAGAGGGAGAGGGAGGAGAGTATCACACAACACAAGGTACAGTGATTAAAGTCAAGTGGGACATAAAAGATGTTCGGTAAAACTAAACCAACTTAGACGTTTCTCCTCTTTGTGCAGGAGACTGTGGAGACATTAAAAGAGACTCTGAGAGAACTGAAAGTGGAGTTTGAGATTCAAAGAAAATCTAAGAACAATTTGGAGGAGCATAAGGAACTCCTTTTAAAAGAGCTGAGATATCTGAGGTAGGTATACACTGATCCTGTTACTGTCTAACTTCCTATACATTGTGAGCATTAAGAAAATAACTGACATATATCTTGTTTTATAGAGGCTGTGATGAACCCAGTGAAACATCTGCAGAGGAGGATCCCTGATTTTGTTTCCAAGGATATTCTTAAGCTGACTATCTGCACAAGACCAAACTCTTAATATTTTAGAGGAAATTACTTACGTACAAATTACCTGGCATACTGTGTCAAGAAATAAAAACAGATTTACTGTAGATATTTTATTATGAATATACTTAAGTACGTAAACAAACAGATGCAGCACAGAAAAATAAAAACATAGTGACAAGTACAAGTGACACAACGTGCATCCTGGAAAATTCATACTACAGATATAAAGCAAATACAAGAGAAACCTACGTATGTACAATTTTTATTAAAAATGGATTTCTGTAGAAATGTTGCTGGGACAACTATTTGAGATGAAAGAAGTAAAACCATCAAAAAGCAAACCTGAATATTGATGGACACATCTGTGATATTTTCATCACAAGCCAGAGCTGAATTCTGGGAGTTTAAAAAACTAAAAAGATCTAAAAAATCTGAACAAAACAGGCTTAATTTAAATACTTCAACAATATGATGACTACACAGCATTTTGTTCTTTAATTGTCTATAAAATCACTGCTGCCCAAAATGTGTTTTAAAAAGACACCACAGATTGTGCACCCAACACTGGAAAACAGATCGACTTTTAAACAAGCAGGTCAAATGAAGACGTGGAGACTCATGCCTGGACCTCTGAATCTGCAGCACCTTCTGGGTCCTCATCGTTGTAGATATTTTCAGCCTGTAGAAGAAACAATTTTAAAGTATATTCACTGTAACTGTTATTCAATGTTAATAAATGCAATTCAAAACTCTCTCTTTGCTGTGTCTGGTATTTACTGTTGTTTATATTTCCATATCATTTTATGAACCTCTGACAAACGTGTGACAAACAAAGCTCTTACCATCTGCCAGACTTGCATGATGTTGTCCTCTGATACAGAGCAGATCACCCACGGCTCGTTGGGGTTCCAAGAGAAGTCTGAGATCTTCGCTGTGTGTCCGCCGTGGATAAACTAAAGAGAAACAGAGCAGGAGGGATTACTACAGCACTTTACATTCAACACACATACAGGAATCAACAGTAATAGACTTTGTCACAACTGACCAGCAGCTCAGGAGGACCATCCTCAGCATCCTCTGGTGACTGTTCCTCTCCGATCTTGCTGAGGTCCCACACGTTGAGCCTCCTGTCAGTGCCACTGGAGGCCAGGATGGTTTCATTATGAGGCGACCACTGAACCTGTTGGACAGAGATGGCCCTGGTGTTATATTTCTGTGACAAAGTGTGTCATAAACATAAAACAGAAATACCAATAGCTACAATCAACAAGACTAAAACTGGTCTAAGAGTTGGCAGACTGTTTCTTGTTGTTTGTTCTGTAAGTATTCCTCTATTTACAATGGCTCCTTACAAAGGACAGGTATGTTTGCTTAAAAAGACAAATATGACTCACTGCACATCATAATTAACGAGCTACAGAGATCCTTTAGTTTTAATGTCTAACTAGTCTTCTGTTTCTTCTTATGATTTCATTGGTCATCTGTAGCTGTAGACATTTATAGCTTAACTGACTTCTTACCTGGAATATTTCGTCCTTGTGAGACTCAAATGAGTGCAGCTTCAGTTTCAGGTTCCTCAGGTCCCAAAGAGCCACCGTCTAAAAATAAAAAGTAGTTAGCTTCAACTGATTCAACCCACAGAAAATGAGAGCAGACCCTGCAACATAATATTCTACAGGGAAAGAGTGGACCCACCTTATCTGCTGAGCCAGTGGCCAGGATGAACTCGCTGTAGGGATTGAAGGATAGGCAGTTGACCTCGGCTGTGTGGGCATCCACAGCATGACTGGGCTTGGAGGTGTTGTTGGACCGTGTGTCCCAGCTGTGCCAGAACAGACAAAAGCACCACTGTTAACAAAGAAAATTGAAACTGAAAAACAACTTTGTCTCTCGTGAATCATCACAGTGGTTAGTGAATTGTGTTTCAGCTGCTCACATCATGAGTTTCTGGTCATCGGCCACAGAGCCAAAGAGTGACTCGTGGAGCAGGTGCCAGGAAACATCCTCCACTACAGCAGTGTGGCCTGTGAAGATGGTCTTGGCATCCACAATCTTTCCCTCTTTGGGCACTGTGCTGATGTCCCACAGGCAGATTGTCTGTAAAAGAGAGCAGAGATGGGTAAGTACATGGTTTAATAACAACAAAACAACAACAATAATAAAAGAAGAAAAAGATTTAAATACGACTTTCCAAACAAAGTTACAAAATACTTTGTTATTACGACAACAAGTTACTGAAAAATTAACAGTTTGATGTGTAAATAGTCATAAATCTTTTAATGTCCAACAGCGATAAAACGTAATATGAGTCACAGGAAAACAGGAAGAGAGACAATATCAGACAAAATAATTCAGTTATGTTGCGACAGGTTGCTTACATGGTCATCAGAAGCACTGAGGAGGCAGCCGCTGAGGTTCGGGTTCCAGGAGAGACCATAGCCCTCCTTCTGGTGGCCCCTCAAACACAGGTCTGGGGTGCATTCTCCAGAAGGGTCTTCGATATAGATAAAATCAATGTTACAAAAATTCTGCAGGAACAACACTTGTTGTAGACTTTTATAAAACGCTTCAGAAAAATGTGTGTTGGCTGTAATCCTAACCAGGTTTAGAAGGGTGCTTTGTGTAATCAAAGACCAGCACGTCGCTGGTGGGGGTCTTGGTGGCAATAATGCAAGGATTCTGAGGCATGTAGCGCGCTCGGTTCACTTCTCCCTCATGGTTGATCTTGATCTCAATCTCTATCTTGCCACTCACAGACCCAAAGCCTCCAAACTCTGAAACAAAGAAACAACAGATACATAAAATTAAATTAAAAACTACAATATAATCTAAAACCAAAATACGTACCTAAAGTTTGTGAAGCATTAAAGATTTCAGCAAGACTTTAACTGTATTCATTCACTGAGAAGAGCTGTGAGCCACAGTATATATTTAAATATGAGAACTCATTAGAACTGATCACGTTAATGACGTTAATATGACGTCAATGCTAATATTGAAATATACTGAAATACCCATCAGTCCATTTATTTTGTGCAGCAAGCGGCTAAAAACAACATAAAGTGTGTAGTCTGGATTTTAGCACCGCAAAGCTTCCCATGCACACATTAACCCTCACCTCCTTTCTCACTGTCGTAGTGTGAGGCATCAAACTGGGCATCATCATTTGGGAGCTGAACACTAGCAATTACAAGGTGATTCTGCTCATCAGAAGTGTGTGTCCCCAGAACCAGCCTGTGCACACTGTAGTCTTTCCCTTCTGGCCTGTCAAAATATATATGATTCATTCATTCATAAATGATAAATTCTGATCCCTCTCTCAGGTCATGTTTTGGTGGATGCCAAGGTGCAGCAGATGTCCCCTCACCTTGTGACATCTGGCAGCCACTGGGCGGTGAGGCTGGGCCACTCCAGGGCGTGTGTCATGACCAGGTCGTAGAGGAAAGGGGGTGTTCTTCTTCCAGATCTTGTACTCCTCATTGATCACCCTCTCCTCCACAGCATCATCAAATGCAGCTGCAAGAGTAATATTCACCAGCAACACAAAGCAATGTTATAATGATTGTCAAAACTCATGCAGGCTCTAATGTGTCCAGACTGAGCACAGGATATTTGGGGTCATACCCCCACCCAACCAAATCTTCTCCTTGTCAAACTGATGTCACCACTAAGGTTTACTTTGCTGATGAGCTAACGTTAGTACAGGTTGCTATCGTTACCAGCATAAATACAGCCATAAACCCGCCACTGAGGATGATTCTCAGCAACATGTCACTTTATGTGGGACACTTATCTTCCACTCACAAATGAACAACACTGTATAGCCATCCTGCTAGCTGCTAACGTTAGCTAACAGCTAGCTGGTGTGTGACAATGACAGGGGAGATACGGTACGTCCTGACGCGTGGTTTCTATCACTGTGGGCAACATACACACATATTCAATCAGCTGATTCAGAAGAGTGTTCACCCTTACCCTCTTTATCAGTCATGGTGTCGTAATTAAATCGCTAACACTGGCAAACAACAGCACTTCTTTGGGAAGCGCTGGAGCAGCACGGAGGCTTGCGATGGCGCCAACTCCACAGAACAAAGACTGACCAATCAGCAGTCAGCAAAACACAGACAGGAAGTCGTCACAGCGACACTTTACTACATCCGGAAACCCTGCTCCGACCCGTGTTGTTAGCGACTGTAACGCATGGACGGGGTAAAGAGCAGATTGGACCATCTTTTAAGACGCTGAACAAACATACAGCTGTAATGGACGACCGTCCGTTAGACCTGACACCAGCACAGGAAGCTACCAAGTCAAAATACCCGCCAATCAACAAGAAATATGAGTGTAAGTCTGAAAGTTAGCTCGCTCAGCTTGTTAGCAGTGATTGTATCTGAAGGGTCAGTAGCTGTAGCTAACGCTATGTTTAGGTGTATTTACTTTAAGTGTATGCCACACATATGTAAGTATTATCAAATCTGCTATTCTTAAGTTGGTCTAACAACATGCCCTGGCTCATAAATTCATTCTGTGTCTTTTATTATTACAGATCTGGATCATACAGCAGATGTGCAGTGAGTGTGTTTTTATATATCTCAGTAAAGTGTTGGTCAGATCTCATGTTTCTCTCTTGTTGAGTTGTCGTCGCATATTCACATTTTCTGCCCTCTCTTCCAAGAATTCACTCCTGGGGGGACTCTCTGGAGGAAGCCTTCGAGCAGTGTGCCATGGGCATGTTCGGCTACATGACAGACACAGAGACAGTGGAACCGCTCGATACTGTTGACGTTGAATCAGAGGGTGAGACACTTTGTCTGTTCACACCTGTTTCTGTCATGCTGCTTTCATGCCGCTGAAACTTAACTCAATGCATACGTTTTCTCCTTCTCAAAAGGTGATGATATGGAGTCTCTTCTGTTCCACTTCCTAGATGACTGGTTATACAAGTTTAGTGCAGATCTGTTCTTTGTTCCCAGGGTGAGTATGTTGGTCAGTAGAGAGTTAGGGAGTGCTGAACAATTTGTGGTATACAGCGGTTTCCACAGTACACAGACATGCAGGTCAGATGGATTAGATACTGTTAACTCACAATAGGTACGACTATGGGTAACTATCTATCTGTGCTTGTCCTACTATGGACTTGCGACCAGTTCAGGTGTTTCCCTGCTCTTTGCCTACTGTATGCTGAGATAGCCTCTAGACACCTTTGGATTTACATGTGCCAGGGTTGCTTGTTAACTGATGTGCATAATTTAAATAGCATGTATTAAATGTGTATTTACATTCTTGTTTTAATGGACAGACTATGTAAACACCTTCCTTAGTTTTCCTATGTTATTCTCCTGACACAATTACTCATTATTATCTATCCACTAGGAGATCAAAGTTTTGTCAATAGACAGAATGCACTTCAGGATCCGGTCCATTGGGTAAGTTTGTGTACTTCCAGAGAACCTAGTGCCTCTGTAAAGTTATTAGTACAGTTTGCTTTTGTGTGTTTATATGCTCTTATATATAAGAATTTACAATTACTGCAGATTTTTGTTATCTTCTTCGGCTATGTAATCTAGTTTTTTGTCTTAATCTGCTCTCATGTGGTATTTTGTCTTTTATTTGATCAAAGTTGGGGTGAAGAATTCTCTCTGGCAAAGCATCCACAGGTAAGATATCACTGGAAGATATTATATTTATTTAGAAACAAATTCAGTATATAATAAATTGAGGTGTGAAAGTACAGACTGCTTTACATTATGTTTTTTTATATTATTGAAACGTATTGAAGAATTATGTGAAATAACTAATGAAAGATACATCATTGTAGTTATGTTATGTCCTGTGTTGTTAATCCAGGGGACTGAGGTGAAAGCCATCACATACTCTGCAATGCAGATCCACGATAAAGAGAAACCAGAGATATTTGCCATTATTGATATCTGACAATACCTCCAGACGCAGACTACACTCCAGCTTCAATCAAACTGGAATATCTACATGGCCAATTGAGGTCGCATTTTTATCTAAGGCACTGATTATTGGCTGGACTGTTTACTGACAGGAGCATTTCTTGTGTTTATGTGTGCACACCGTACAATGTTAGAGCTGTGTGACAGATTACAGATTAGTGATATAACATTGATATCTTTATAAATATGATTCTTTCAGAAATCATAAAACCTTAGATATAAATTACATCAGGGAATGGCAATGATATGTGGAAAAATGCATTGCGTGGAGATCTGTCAACCCAGTTTTACTTAATGCTCATCACGAATGTGATATTGTTTTGATGCCTTATTGATTATTGTAAATAAATCAACAGATTTTTATTTTTCTTCTGTGGGAATAAATAAATAATTACTGGTACTTGGTAAATCTCACTTATGAATCATTTCAGCAGTAAACAGGAGCTCTAAATTTAGAATTACACAGCAAACATCTTAAAAAATAAAAGTTGAGTTCAACACAGCAATATTCAAAACCATCATACAGTGAATCCTCTCTTTGAATTGTTTAAATCTACCCACAAGGAATGTAAAGTATGCAACAATGGTAATAACACTAGTTGATTTTATTTAATTAGCTGAGTTCTACTTTTTTAATAAAGAAAGGTCAAGATAGATTGGCCAATGTATCCCAGCACAACCTGGGTTTTGATGGTGCCTTTAGGAATCACTACATGAATGTTCTACTAATATTAAGTATTAAACCACATGCACAAGCCTAGCTGGAGTGTTTTGTTTTTTTTACCTCAAAGGCAGCCAGAGGAGAACAATAAGACCTGACAAGCATGGAGGACATTCAGTCCGAGCCTGTGATTTTTTAAATATTAACTGAACCATCCCTGACAGTTTTTCAAAGCTGATGAATAAATCCCCTCAGATAACAGGTTACAATAAATGGAACAGCACATAGTAAGGAGCTTTAGTTTAGCTTTAGTTATCACAATACAGAAAAAAATGCCTGCCAAATTCAGGTGTGAACAATGAAATCATAGCTGACAAATGTCACAAACACTGAGACTCAGACTCAGTACTGCTCTACTGCACATGTGCAACGTTGACCTCAGCTTTCATTCTAGGAACACAAAGTTACAAGTCTAGTTGAAGTTGAATCAATGGGATAGTGAGACATAAGTAACAAATAGTTGTAATAGTTGTTTGTTGCAGCTTCCCTAAAATATGCTCATTCTGTAAAGTTGCAAAACTGATTTATAATATAATAATCACCCATTGTTTCAACTGACCCTCTACAAGGGACACTGATAAAGTTACACTGTGCTGGAACAATTGGTATGAAGCCACAGCATAACCCACAGACAAATGATCCTCCCAGTCATGTAAATAAAGCAATACTCTGGGTTGATAGAGGATTCCCCTTCCATGGTCTGTTGATATGAGGCCTGTTTTGGGGATAAGAACCATGATCAGCTAGGGTATACAGTTCGATTCATTACAATAGACACACACAGTGGTTGTGTCTATTGTGTTGTAAGGTAGATGCATGAGGCAAATACATGTTTTATACAGAAAGTGAAGAAACAGACTTAATAAATGGAACAATTAATTACTTTATTACACAAGTAATAAATAATTCTTATCATATACCAATGGGATAGTGTTGGATACTACCACTATAACTGTGTATGTTAAGAAAGTGGCGCACTTAATCCTGGGAAGAAACTTAATTTGCAAACAATGCCAGGGGACAGACAGAAATCATACATTACTTAAAAAAAAGATAAATAAACGTAAACTTTTGATTGCTCTCTTATTTAACAATATGGTGATAATTTAATATATTGTTTGACTTCACTTCCAAAAGTAAAAATATTTATAATAGGTTTATAATAGGAACATTTTGATTTGTGTATGTGGAATTCTGCAGAAGGATCTAATAAATTGATGATATGATACTGATTTCTTTTGGTAGAGGGGTAGGGGGAAAAAGCCAAACTCTAAATTCTCATATAAAAGGGAAAAATCAGAAACAATATAACGTTACTGGTAAATAAAAGCACAATTATCCCAAAAGAATAAGAATGGGGGACAAGAGCCAAACAAATGACCTAAATCTTCTGGAGCCCGTTGACAAAATGAGCACGTTAACTTACACCAATGTGTTTTTTTTTTGTTTGTTTGTTTGTTTTTTGGAGGGATAAAAACGATGAATTTGGCTTCATTTAAAATAAGACACTTAGAAGGCGGACGCCATACTTCCCCTCCAGTCTCGACGTCGTCCTGATACCTCGGCGGTGACGTCACTGTCTCCTCCTGTGTCACTGCCTCCCACCACACTCAAATGCAGCTGCGCCATTCCTCCTTTGTCCATTGAAGAGAGCAAAACGACTCGTAACCGAAAGATACCGGGGGTCTTTGTGAGCTGACCGTTTACGCCACCGTCGGACACTACCGTTACCTAACGTAGCTGCAGTCCCGTGTAAAGCGAAGCGAAGGAACCTAGCAACGCGGCGTCAGATAATTTTAGCGGCGCTGGTGGATTATAAAACGAGCGAATGCTAACGACCAAATCTGAGTCCGCCATTGATTCAAGCCCCGCGCAGGAGAAAATCAAAATGGAAGACACTAAATACCTCCCGGAGCTCCTGGCTGAGAAGGACAGCTTGGATTCGTCGTTCACGCATGCCATGAAACTTATTTCTGCAGGTAATGTGACCGCTTGCTAGTTTGTCGATGCTACTAGAGGCTTGCTAAGGGTAGCACGGCGCGGGGCCTAGCGCCTGCAGCGGCACACAGAGGCCTGAACAATGGTGCAAGGAACACGTGGTTGTCCGCGATCTGGGTCAAATCGTCTTATTGAAAATGAGTTACATTTAAAACGCAGACCACTTATTCGATAAGACGTCTAAATGTTTATTTGTATGCAAGGATGAGTCTGGTTGAACCGTTGTTACGTTGGAGACGTTAATAACTGTTTAATGAATTACTTGAAATCGTTGTTTTTTACCAGACGCTTTTAAAATTGCATGTTTAATACACAAATGCAGTTTAAAGTGTGTTGCATTAGAAACCTTAAAGAAACGCTGAGAGTTTGGTAGATGAATAGCCCAATAGCGTGATATTCAGTCAGCAGTAGAGCATGAAGAGGCTTTGTTTCCACTGGTGTACGGGCTACAGAATCACACGAGATAAGACCTATTTTGGCTTTGCAAATACATTTCAATGCATTTAACTTGTTGGCCATTGCATCTGTGAATGCCACATGTTTACATGTTTTCCCCTTCTTGCCTGCAGAGATTGAGAGGATCCAGAAAGGTGAAACTAAGAAAGAGCCAGAGAAGGAAACGTATCTGGACCTATTTGCGACCAAGAATCTCAAACTCAAAGAGCGAGTACTCATTCCTACCAAGCAGTACCCCAGGGTAAGCATTTTTCTTTTTCTTTTTCTCATTCATCACTTGACTGCTATCTGTTGACCACCAGCTGTTGTCCCAGGGGGCCCGATGTATTTAGTGACTGTTAAATGGGCCCATTGGGACATTTCATTAATGCCGTTGCATTTTTACACCCTGTTTATTTCATGAGGTGTCTCCCAGTGCCGAGCCTTTGAATCCGAACGCCATTTGCTCAAGCGTGTGGTACATGTCCGAGTAATCCTGTGTATCCCATTGGAGCACCCCCCTCTTCTGTTAGCTCTGCTGTCCCAGAATTAGTGGTTATGCACCCAGTGCCCTACTGAGATTGCTTCTGCGTGAACGGTTTTCAGCAGTCTGAAAATGTAGTTCATGATGAGGGGGATGTGGCGACTACAGTGGAGTCGAGAACAGTTTTTGTGCTGAATGTGACGACCATAACCTGATTTCATGTCAGATCAGGCTGTACTTAAGCCTGCTATCACATTTAGCTACACTCTGTAATGGTAGCAGAAAGTAATGCAATACTGATATTTTACTAAAATATTTCCTACAGGTCAACTTCGTTGGTAAGCTTTTGGGACCTCAGGGCAGCACAATCAAGAGACTCCAGGAAGAGACTGGTGCCAAGATTTCCGTTCTGGGTAAAGGATCCATGAGGGACAAGAATAAGGTATGTAGTTCTACCTTGCTGCACTGTTCATATGATGTTACCCCTTATTATGCCTGTGGCGGTTGGATGTATGTTAATTTGCATTTATTATCGTCATTAGGAGGAAGAGCTGAGGAAGGGTGGTGAGGCCAAATATGCTCACCTGGCCATGGAGCTACATGTGTTCATTGAGGTGATGGCACCCATACCAGAGGCCTATCTGCGCATGGCTCATGCTATGGAGGAGGTCAAGAAGTTCCTTATCCCGGTATGTCTAACAGAAGTTCTTGTATACCAATTATAGAAACGGTTTGTGTACAAAAATAAATTTGTAAATGCAAGCAACTTATTCTCTGGCTACCCCGGGAGACTGCCATGCAATAACCGACTGTTTTTGATTTTCCTGTAGGAACCTGGTGAGCATGACCCATACATGGATCCCCACTTCTTGAATGGATCCCAGGATGGTTCAGGCAGGGGGCGAGGTGGTCATCTAGGAAGGGGCAGAGGTGGACCACCTGGTGCTGGAGGACCAAGGTACGAGGCTGAGTCATGAAGACACTAAGCCTTAACTTCAACCATAGCACGTTAATCTGGCCACACACTGCTTATTAACTATTATTAACAACACATGCACCGTGGCACTGGAACCATGTAGTGAAATGCTCACACAGCAGGCACACTGTTTTTATGCAGTGCTATTGTCTTGCTAATTCTTTGTTCATGATCAATTCTTTGTTTGATCACATTTAACAACCTGGCTAACTTTCCACAGGGGGCGAGGAATGCCACGTGGGGGCCCTCGAGGAGCAATGCGTGGTGGAGCTCCACGGGGAGGACTAGGAAGGGGCAACGCTCCGAGGGGCGCACCATCTGGTCGGGGTGGACCACCATCTGCTCCTAGTAGAGGAGGCTCGGCTCCACGATCTAGACCACCTGCAGCAGGGGCTCCGAGGATGCTTCCCTCTTCAGCCATGTCTCACCAGCAACACCAGGGTCCCCCTTCAGCGTCACAGCCCAAATCTGATGGTTATGAGGACTATGTAAGTTTAAGTTCTGGTTTCTTCATTTCACAGGAATTGTCCCTTCATAAATGGTGATTTCTTTTGGGTGCAGCATGGATTCCTTTTGTCACAGTAGTTGTGACTGAATTTAACATTACATGACCATTCATTTCTTTTCCTTCTAGCCTCCATATGAAGAATCCTATGCAGAGCCTGCCTATGAGGGATATGATAGTTACTATAGTCAGCAGTCTGCACCCGCGTAAGTCGAAGTTAATTTGAGTGATTTCATTTTTTTCAACAATTGGAGTACTATATTCAAAATGTTTTTAACTACCCTCAGGGATACTGAATATTATGACTACGGACACGGAGAGGCACAGGAAGCATCATATGAGCCTTATGGTAAGTGTATAAAAAATGTACATCCATTTTCGTCTAGCCACGTAGTGTGCACACACCCACTGAGGACCTCATTGGACCTCCTGTCTGTCTCACTCAGAATGTTAACTGATGTTTCTTTTTGTCCTTGTAGCTCAAGACGACTGGGACAACTCATGGTCCAACTCCGGGGCCGGAGGCAAAACCCCGATGTCCAGGCAGTCAAAGGGATCGTACAGAGATCATCCATATGGAAGATACTGAGCGGCTACTGGTAGAGAGTTGCTATGGCAACTGTCTCAGATTGTAACTCTCT